GAAGGTTTGGCACATGACACTTTGGGGAAACGCGTCACATTTTGTTTTCACGTTTTAGGCTGAAATTAACAAATATCTGAACTTTTTGAAGGATTTTGTTATTTTCCCGAGTTCCACCTGTGAGTCCTACAAATATTTTTCTAGTATTTATTAAAGCGTGACCTTGTATCCGAGCCCATGTTGTCTGTGATATTATTCCTGCTGTTGATAGAAACACAGCCCCCCCCCCCCCCCCCCTCCTCCCCCCTCCCCCCTCCTCCCCCTCCTCATGATGAAGGCCTATTGTCACTGCTGCTGTCTTGTCTTGAAGATGCAGTGGGGGCCGTGGAGGGAGGGGGTGGGGGGGGAATCAATGGCTGCTCCCCGGGGCGAGGTCTCAGACACCCATGCTGTCGTGTGGTCGGGTCCCCAGGGGCCCAGGGGGACATGGGTTTGACAGGTGGAGAAAAGAAGTGAGCCCATAACTTGAGGTTTCAGCGAAAGTTCATATGAATAATTAATGCATCGGTAACGTAGTGTTATGGAGAGAATGGCTCGAGTCTCTCTCTCTGAGCTCGAGTCTCTCTCTGAGCTCGAGTCTCTCTCTCTGAGCTTGAATCTCTCTGTGCTCGAGTCTCTCTCTCTGAGCTTGAATCTCTCTGTGCTCGAGTCTCTCTCTCTGAGCTTGAATCTCTCTGTGCTCGAGTCTCTCTCTCTCTAAGCTCGAGTTTCTCTCTCTCTAAGCTCGAGTCTCTCTCTGAGCTCGAGTCTCTCTCTGAGCTCGAGTCTCTCTCTGAGCTCGAGTCTCTCTCTGAGCTCGAGTCTCTCTCTGAGCTCGAGTCTCTCTCTGAGCTCGAGTCTCTCTCTGAGCTCGAGTCTCTCTCTCTCTAAGCTCAAGTCTCTCTCTCTGAGCTCGAGTCTCTCTCTCTGAGCTGGAGTTTCTCTCTTGGACCTGAGTTGTTTCACCCATATGTCGCTTGTTTGTTCCTGGGCCCTGCATAAATCCCCTCTTCCTCTTCCTCCTCCTCCTCTTCCTCTCCTCCTCTTCCTCTTCCTCTCCTCCTCTTCCTCCTCCTCTTTTTCCTCTTCCTCCTCCTCCTCCTCCTCTTCCTCCTTCTCTCCTTAAGTCCTACTTCAAGGCCTGCACCCAGCCGCCTCTGCCACCCCAGACCCCCCGGCGCTCCCTGCGGTCCATGGGGGGGGGGGGGGGTGTTGAGGCCTGTGACCCCCCCCCTCCTGCCCTCAGCTCTTAACCCTTTAGAGCAGCTTATAGGCCATTGTCAGTCCAATCTGGCGCCCCCCCTCCGAGTCCGAGGGCTTTCTACCTCTCTCCTTTTCATCTGCTCCTGGCACCACGTCATCAATGACTGTATTAATGTCTGATTATTCAGGCTGGGGGGCCATAAACCGCTCAAAACGAGGGTGTCTTTTGTGCCGTGGCAAATGAAGTGGTTGACATTAGTCGTTGGTTCAGATCAAGGCAAAGAGATTGTTAAGATCTGGATCCAGAAGAAACGAGATTGGATCTTGTTACATACAATTGCCATGAAATTGTATCCTGAGAATCACCCGCGCTGCTGCTTTAAGGACTTTGCGACGGCTCGGAAACCCGGAGCGAAAGGTTTGCATGGATTCAGGGACCAATCACGGAGCAGGGTTTAGACACACTGTAGATGCAGCAGCAGAGCCATATGAGGGGCTGTTTGCCCTAAAATAGTACACTCTTTGGAATGTTGTGATGGTTACACAGCTCAAAGAGTTTAGTGATTATTTACTTTGTATCATGCAGATTTGTGGTTCAAAAAGGGGTTGGACGAAGCGAAAGTTTATAATATCCCAAACCCTGTCATGAACAACAACAGCAGACACAGATGTGTTGCTACACAGATGCTCCGACCAATCAGAGAGCGGAGGAGGCGGGTGTTGTAGGTCGGTGTCGCTGACGTCAAGAGTTTGTGCGGAATTTTCTGGTTGTAGTTTGTCGGAGAATGCGGTAGTAAAGCTAGGCTAATGCTAAAGCTAGGCTAAATGCTAAATGCCTCACTCACTCGGGCTCATTACATACGTCACAGTAAACTCAGATCCAATGGTTTCAATCTGCAAAAGGAGTTAGCCCCTCCCACCTGTTAACGGAGTCAATGGAGCAAATCCAGACCCTAGTATGAAATGAAATGAGTACCATGTGTGGTAAGACCGGGGTAATGTAACACATCGACCACAAATAAATAGGTACATACAGTCTTTAAGGACTGAAAGCAACAAGACTAAAGCCTCAGACCTTTTTCGTCTTTGTTTTCCACAGTTCACATCACACCAGTGTCACTGCAGTTTTTATACATCATGAATATATCATCAACATTTGTTATTTGTGACGGGACTAAAGCAGGATGGACACATGTTTGTGTTTACACATTAGATAAGATAGGATGGGATAGGGTAGGACAGGGCAGGACAGGGTAGGCTGGGGTAGGATTGGACGGGGTAGGGTAGGATTGGACAGGGTAGGGTAGGATTGGGTAGGGTAGGATTGGACGGGGTAGGATTGGATGGGGTAGGGTTGGGTAGGGTAGGATTGGACAGGGTAGGGTTGGGTGCGGTAGGATTGGACAGGGTAGGGTTGGGTAGCGTAGGATTGGACAGGGTAGGGTTGGGTAGGGTATGATTGGACGGGGTAGGGTAGGATTGGACAGGGTAGGGTTGGGTAGGGTAGGATTGGACGGGGTAGGATTGGACAGGGTAGGATTGGACGGGGTAGGGTTGGGTAGGGTAGAATTGGACGGGGTAGGGTAGGGTAGGATTGGACAGGGTAGGGTTGGGGAGGGTAGGATTGGACAGGGTAGGGTTGGGTAGGGTAGGATTGGATGGGGTAGCGTAGGATTGGACAGGGTATGGTTGGGTAGCGTAGGGTAGGATTGGACGGGGTAGGGTAGGATCGGGTAGGGTAGGATTGGGTATGGTAGGATTGGGTATATTAGGGTAGGGACGGGTAGGATCGGACAGGGTAGGGTAGGATTGGGTATGGTAGGATTGGGTATATTAGGGTAGGGACGGGTAGGATTGGACAGGGTAGGGGAGGGTAGGGTAGAGTAGGGTAGGATAGGATTTGGACGGGGTATGGGAAGGGTAGGATTGGACGGGGTAGGGTAGGATTGGACAGGGTAGGGTAGGATTGGGTATGGTAGGATTGGGTATATTAGGGTAGGGTAGGGTAGGATTGGACAGGGTAGGGTAGGATAGGGTATGGTAGGGTAGGATAGGATATGATAGGGTAGGATTGGGTATGGTAGGGTAGGATAGGGTATGGTAGGGTAGGATTGGGTATGGTAGTGCATGATACGATAAACTTTATTGATATCTGATGGAGAAATGTACATGTGGCATTTGGCACAGATAGAATCACTCAGATGTGACATGTTAAAGGTCACATCTGAGTGACAGAAGTGAATCATGTTAAAGGTTAAAAACTGTCTGTGCAGGAGATAATTATGTAGAATACAAAGTGTCAGTTAAAGAAGCCGTGGCAGTGTCAGTGCCTGGGCTGCGTCTGTAGATGTGCTGAAATACTTCCAGGAGTCTCCCTTTGACTCCGAATACTTCATAACATTATTATTTTGTAGAAACACTGTCGTCTTCCACATTCTGCTGTTTTCTCCGCAACAAAAACTAGTCCTTCATGTTTCCGACTCACGGCATCACGCGGGACTGCAGCCCGTCTGATAGCCCTGCACTCCTCTGTCACTTCCCATTTTTCCACATTATTTGGTATTTGTTTTATAGTTTAGTGGAATCTAACGCGCTCTTTTGTCTGTCTGTGTTTCCGTTCTCAGGAGGTCCTCCAGACGATTCCAAAGTTCTGCTTTCCCTTTGACGTGGAGAGGTAACGTTCCTGCCTGTTCCGCCGTCGCTTCAAACACACGGGGGCTCACAAGTCGGGGAAACACGCACACACACACACACACACATTCGTGCTCGGTGGTTGTTTGGGGACATCACTCCTGAATCAAACCCTCGTCATAATCTCATGTTTAAGTCAAAGGGGAACTTTACATATCCAAGCTTTACACAGTTTTTGACCATGTTCGGCACGTTTATTTATATAGCACAGTTCATACACAAGGCAACTCAAAGAACAGGAGAACTCCCAGAGCAGTCAATATGACGGCTTTTGAAGTTTAAATTTATTTTATTACGGACAATGTTATATTATCCAAATGCTGCACCAGATTTAGCTCCAGATACTTTCCATCTTCAGTCCTGACAATACAATCATATATTCATCACTTACATATAAACATACAGTTTAATAAGTTACTAAAATACGTATTAAAATAGTTAGTTTTTGAAGCGTAGTTACTCATCGTTCGTACTGTCACTGTTGGTCTTTCTGTTTCTATGTGTAGTTTAATTCTATGTCGCTATTTTTAGGAAATGTTTTTGAGATGTGACGAGTCATGTTTACGGATTCATTCATTTCAAGAAAACAGAAGAAATCCTTTGTTTGTCCCACTCAGGGGAAATTTCAGTGTTGCAGCGCACGGACAGGAGAGTAGTGAGAGACACAAAATATACACAATAAGTTTAAGTTTATTTAGAAAATCATCTCATTATCGAGGGGGTCCTAAACACACACACACACACACACACACACACACACACACACACACACACACACACACACACACACACACACACACACACACACACACACACACACCTACCTTCTATCTTCAATATCAATCTTCATCAATATCTCTATCTGTACATATTGCTAATAAATAAAGCCGTTTTCTGTCACTTGGTGACCGACATGAAGCTAAAGCCCCATTTCTCCAAAGTGCTGGTCCTGGGCTGGTCCTGGTTCAGTCTGATTTTCCACCAGAGAAGATAAAAGTGCTAGTTACCGTAGCAACGCACTGTTTACTTGCTGTAGTTAGCATGTGGTCTTTAGCATTAGCTTTTCAACAACCTGCTTTTTTGCTGTATTTAGTTAAGTTATAAATCTCCAATTGTTGCAAATATTAACAGTGAATAAACGTTAAAAAAAACCTCATAAATGACTTATATTTAATAAAACTGGAATGGGAGCGGTCAAAATGACTGCTCCTGAAATCAAGCGTTTATAATCACAGTGCATTACAAAGAGTAAAGATGTAATCCTTCTGTTGTAATGTTCTGTCTTTTAAACTCTCAAAGCTGTTTTTGGAGCACTTTAAACGAGCCTGAGTCAGTCCCAAGCCCCATTCACAGAAACTCAGTGGATGAGGGCGAGTTCAACACCACAGTCTATTCAAAAACCTCTCAAACCGGTCTGAGTAGTCTTGGTCCCAACTACAGACCAGAGAGAAACCAGAGAGAGACCAGAGAGAGACCAGAGAGAGACCAGAGAGAGACCAGAGAGAGACCAGAGAGAGAGACCAGAGAGAGAGACCAGAGAGAGAGACCAGAGAGAGAGACCAGAGAGAGAGACCAGAGAGAGAGACCAGAGAGAGAGACCAGAGAGAGAGACCAGAGAGAAAGACCAGAGAGAAAGACCAGAGAGAAAGACCAGAGAGAAAGACCAGAGAGAAAGACCAGAGAGAAAGACCAGAGAGAGAAAGTTTGTACTGCCTTATGGTAAGTGTCAGAAATCAGATTCTAATCTCTGGTCCCTCTCTGGTCTCTCTCTCTGGTCTCTCCCTGGTTTCTCTCTGGTCTATCCCTGGTCTATCCCTGGTCTATCTAGTCTCTCTCTGGTTTTCTCTGGTCTCTCTCTGGTCTCTCTCTGGTTTTCTCTGGTCTCTCTCCCTGGTCTCTCTCTCTAGTTTCTCTCCCTGGTCTCTCCCTGGTCTCCCTGCACCATGTGGGACAGTAGATAGTGTTTCCCGACACAAGAATAATATTACTCCTGTCACTATCAAATAATTTATATACTGTATTCTAATTAATTATATACTGTAGTATTATTAGTATACTGTAGTATTTTAATTATTAATATCCTGTAGTATACAGTACTAATATTGTCCTAATACCAAACAGCAGAATCCTATTGGGACCACATTGGGACCACATTGGGACCAAATTGGGACCACATTGGGACCACATTGGGACCACATTGGGACCACCAGTGTGTCTTTTGTTTGGAGGTGTCTGTGGCTGAACTCCTCTGGGCCCGTGTCTCTCTCTGCTCCTCTTCATCAATAATAACACACTCAGCAGCGCCACTGATACTCTGCTGCTGCCATCTAGTGGCGGCGGTGAGAACTGCACCCACGGCATCAGATACTGTAGTGTTTCTGATGCTCGTTTTAAAAAAGTTTAAATGGTTTGGGCTCTGTATATTTAGTTATCAGCGTTTGGTGGACTCTCTCTGGTCTCTCCCTGGTCCCTGGTCTCTCTCTCTCTGGACTCTCGCTGGTCTTTCTCTGGTCTTTCTCTTGTCTCTCTCTCTGGTCCATCCCTGGTCTCTGGTCTCTCTCTGGTCTCTGGTCTCTCTGTGGTCTCTCTGTGGTCTCTCTGGTCTCTCTCTCTGGTCTCTCTCTCTGGTCTCTCTCTCTGGTCTCTCTCTCTGGTCTCTCTCTCTGGTCTCTCTCTGGTCTCTCTCTGGTCTCTCTCTGGTCTCTCTCTGGTCTCTCTGGTCTCTCTCTGTGGTCTCTCTGTGGTCTCTCTGTGGTCTCTCTCTGGTCTCTCTCTGGTCTCTCTCTGTTTCTCTCTCTCTGGTCCAAACTGTGATCTCTCTGCTCGTTATCGTTACTGATTATTACTGCCCCCAAATTGTGCAGATGAGTTAAACATAATAAACAGTGCAGGTTTTTAAATCTAGTCTAAACACACATTTGTTGATTTTACTCATGTGTGTGGTTCAGGCCTCATCTTTTTTCTTTCTTTCACGTTCTTCACTTTGAGACGCTGGTAAAGCTGACACCCACATAATCAGAGGCCAAAACTACAGGCCCTCAGCTTCAGCCTGAGTCCAGCCCAGAGCCTTTTTCTTTCTGCCGTTCTAAAGAGAGAAAGATAAAACACTGAAACGGCCGTCGCTCCAGACTTTAGCTTCAGACGTGACTGAAATATGTTTTTTTCTCACGTTATAATAAGAAACGGCGTCATCACAAACCTTCAGCAATAATTAAAAACTGAACTTCCCGCTCCATAAACTACAGATAAGACTGATTTATTGCACTTTCTTCCCCGACATCGCTCCACGGTTTGATTCTCCCAGACCCTGGATCAGTGGGAGTTCATGTCCTACTGCTCTGTGTCTGTCTCTGAAACATAAAATAATAATAATAATATTACATTTTATTACGAAGGCGCCTTTCTAAACCCTCAAGGTCGCAGTAATCACAAGTATTTTACATTTAGTTAAAATACTGTTCAAAGAGTGAAAATACAGTGTGAGCTGTGTCTGTCATTAAATAAAAACCATGAAAATCCACGATTGCCACGCCCTTATGACGTCATAATATGCAAATTAGACAGGTACATTTAATCCCTACATACACTTTGGGCCTTCCTTTTAATTTCTCTAATTTACATAAAGCCTTTAACTCTTTTCACTTTTAAGTTATGACAAAATGAAGATGTTAAAGCACAGTCTGTAAAAGCCAAAAAGGTTGATTTTTAACCCATTTCTAATGTTTTCTATTTCAATGGATTTTTACTTTAGCTTTGTAAAAGTGCGGGTTATTTAAATAAACTAATGAAGTACAATTTAAAAAAATAAAATGATAAAATCAATATAATGGAGACAGTGCATTATTTGAATTAATACTTTTTTTTCGAGCCGTGGCAAACAAGAACAAACAACAAAACAACAGAATAGAAAAAACAACACAAACAAATTTGTATGTTTTGTTTTATTCACAAAAAATCTGTTAGAAAAGAAGTTTAGACTTTTAAACTGTTTATTATTCTAATTTAATTTAACATTAATTATGTGGTTTCTACAGATTGGATTATCATTATTATTATTCATATTTTATTATTATTATTATTAATAATAATAATAATAATAATAATAATAATAATAATAATATTAATATTATTTTATTATTATTAATTATAATAAATAATATTTGACTCTGAGGTTTGTCTGCTTTATTTCAGCATTAATAAAAAAACATGTATCAATGTTTCTCCGACAGAAACTCAGATAAAGTCAAAGTAAATAGTTTTATTTAAAAATAAAACAATAAACAGGAATAAAACATTTTAAATTCACACAGAGTAAAAACAATCGGTTTCTGAACAGTTTAAAGTCATCCTTTGATTTCAGACAAACATGATCTATGAACTGTCGTCACCAATATAAATAAATAAATAAAACCATTGGATGAAATAATTCAGTGTAAAAATGAAGTGTTTCCTTTGTGTTTCTCACATCTGTTCATGAAGAAGCAACAATAACACAATAATAACACAACAATAACACAACAATAACACAATAATAACACAATAATAACACAATAATAACACAACAATAACACAACAATAACACAACAATAACACAATAATAACACAATAATAACACAATAATAACAACAATAACACAACAATAACACAACAATAACACAATAATACAATAACACAACAATAACACAACAATAACACAATAATAACACAATAATACAACAATAACACAATAACAACACAATAACAACAACACAACAACACAACAACAATCAGTTTTTGGAAAACCAGTTTTGAACTGAAAAAATACATTTGCTGCAAAATGTTCTGATGTTGTGGTTTTAATGAGTTTGAGAAAAGAGTGTTTTATAATAATAATAACTAGAAACTTGCAATGGCTGAAGCCATTGCGATTGACTGCGGAACAGATCTAATGTGGAAATCTGCTAAAAAAAATCCTTGAAATCCTTTAAAAAGCCTTGAAACTGT